AATAATAATCTCTTTCTCTATATAATCTGCCATAAAAGGAAGTTTTAAAAATTACATCATCCATCGCTCACGCTTTGGGAAGGACTTTGGAGAATGCTCCGGAGGGGGTGCCCTGCCCGATGAGACAGGGTCTCCTTCATCTCTGCCCCAGAGGGAGAAGTTGGGATGCTGTATAATCTCAACTGGATGGTTGTTCTCCAAAGCCGGAAGGAACGTAAGGCATTCAGATGAAATGCTCCAGGAGCAGAAGATGGGGTGAAGAAGACCTGGGCTGCCATGGCCCTGTCGATGAAGCAATAGTTAGTGTCTATGGCTCCACCTCCTGTGCATTTCACCCAAGGGGCTGGCACAGTAAAAGATTTCATAGACGCCAACAGCAGTCGGAATAGAGGTAGTGTGGCATGGCAGTCAGGAGCATAGGCTTTTGGGGTCCCCCACTTAGCTTTTGACCTCGGGTAGTTTCTAAGTCCCAGGTTTGGTTTCTTGCCTATACATTCAGAGTAGCCCCTACACATGGCCCACAAGGTGCTTATGAAGATAAGATGTAAAATAGTATATGGGACTTAAGTTGTAGCTCAATGGTAGGGTACTTACTTAGCATGTAAGTAAGATACCTAACACCGAAAAACAAATGTGCAACACTTAACCTGATGCCACAGTGAGGTGGAATGGGGTAGCTGCTATTATAGTTAACTAGTCTAAGGTGCTAGTGTCCTTAGTTATAGGTGGAGTGTATCCAATCTTCTTATTCCTATGTTCAACTTGCCTCTTCAATTGGCCTGTAACGGCTGAGCAAGGACCAGGTTATGGGAACAGTCTGCCCTGGTACCTACAACAAGGGGTGCACAGTCTATGGAGGAAATTTATATGATTCTATCTAGTTTTACCTACATAAATATCTCAAAGAGTCTGTCTGCTTTTCATACTAACTTCCAGAACTTCAAAAAACATTACTGACAAAACATCCATCTCTGCTATAGTGGAGCACATCACTGGCCCTCCCTTTGGTACACTACCCAATGGCCAGCCCCATCCTTACATGCTCACACTACCCAATAGCTGGCCCCATCCTTACATGCTCACTGTGTTGTTTTTCCACCCTCTCAGGCCTTAGTGCATCACAGCTGGTAATGGGCCTAGAGTTCTGCACAAGCCCTCAGCTAGCTGGACTCTTGATTTCTCATTGCAAAGTCAGTGGCAACTCTGGAAGCTTCCCAGCTGCTTCTCCCTCTAATGGCCCACACACTTACAGTTAGACAGGAGCAGGGACACCTTCCCATGGCTTGGGGACTAATCCAGACTTAGCTGCTCAAGTCACTGGAAGCTGAGCAGCAGGAAGGGGTGCAGCCAAGGGCAAGCCTGCTTGGAGTTTTCAGCCTTTCCCTTGTGCCTCATACTTCTTGGGGTACTGTTACGTGGCCTACGAGCCACAGCTAGTTTTCTGTGGCTCCAAAGTTCCATCTTCAGGCAGAACTAACATCCCACATCCCCAGAGCTGGGTTAGGACAACTCTTCCTCAGGGGTAAACATGCTGTTAGGGTAAAGCGTCATGGGTGAGGAGGAACAGGAAACAGTACAACCATCCTGTGTAAATAGATTCTCTGCAGATCCTAAAATGGCCATGCATGGCTCACCATGGACTCAAGTGGTAAACACCCACTTCCCACACAGACAGATGCTAAGCTCTTTGGGTGAGGGGGAGTATATTTCTTCTAGGATAAATTGCCCCAATTTAGCACATGAACATATCTCGTCTCAGCACACACACACACACCCAAAGCATCACTGACTCACACCCGCCCAACTCTGTTGACTCATGCAACAAAGTCAAGAGAGATACTCTTCCCTCCAAAGGACTAAGAGATACTTCACAGTAGCTCTGCTGTGACAAGTACCAAGAAATAGTAGCAGGCCTTCTTCCCAGTTTCTCTTGGTAATTTCATTGGTCCTGACCTGGAGGCTCTGTACTAGAAGGTCCAAAATGTAGAAAATTCAAGTTTCAAGCAAGAGAAGAAGAAAGGATGCAGACAGAGGGGGGAGGTAAAAGTGGATTTTTTTAATTTGTCAAAATTAAGTATACTTTTACTCTTTCCTTCTCCCAAATTACTAATATTGTATGTGTGTTGATGAGCTTCATACCCTGCTTACTCGCAAAGTCATTTTACAAACACATAATGAAGGCTCTCAGGGCTAAGGCCAAAAGTCACCATTGGCTTTCAGAAACTTGGAATGAATCAATTGCAATACCTACAGCTTATTAACAATTGAGGACAAAAGGGAAAATATTGGGACATGGTTTTGCTATCGGACATCAAATTGCATATGAAACTCACTTCCGGAAACAAAACTTTTGGTGGTAGATGGAGTCCCAGAGGCTGAATCCTATGGCCACACACCTCCAATTCCATCACTCTGAGCAGATAACGGGGTGAAGAAGCAGCTATTGATAAAGCAGGGTAAAACTCAACTGTGGGTCTGGCTCTCTGCACATCCAGTAACAATCACCTTTCTTTTCAGCAAAGGGGTAAAGAGGGAGAGAGAGAAAGGACAAAGCCTTTGTTGCCAGGGAAAAGCTCTGGGAAGGACCATATGGCCCCATCCCCATCTGAATTCCATCGGCCATGACTGGCCAAGGTATCTTCATGAGCTCAAAGGCAGAGAGCCTAAAAGGCCAGTTACAGGGTGTGTTTTCATATAGATATTTTAAACGCACACAAGCCTGGGCCCATCCTACTTGCTAATGTTGGTAGATTACTCATTCTTCCTCCCAATCACGTCATGTGTGAGATTCCAGGTGGCTGTGGGGTATTTGCTTACAACGGCTACCACTGGTTTCCTTGCAAGCTGTTTATTTTTCCAGCCTCAGGTCATTACATCAGCCCACAGTTTCCAGTTGGGCAAAGAGTATAGACTCGTGGGGGTAGGGATCCAGCCAGAAGGCACCATTGCCTCCATGACCCCAAACCCCAGTCACTTCAGCTACCCCAGCAGAAACATCCTCAGTGGAAAAGCAATCTCATCTGTGGCCAATGACCCAGAAGCCAGCTGAGAGGAAGACCACTGAGCCCAAATGAGTAAGGGCAAGAATGCTGTCAACCTGTGACACATGTATGTGCTTAGGGCAAACATGGACATTTTCATGCAAGAAGAACTGAGACTCCTGTTTCATTACAAAATGTCAAAGAAATGTGTTTTGCTTTGGATTCCTAATAGCTGCTCTGTCTCCACAGAACACAGTGGCTGACCACAAGTTGTTTCATCCACAGATACATATTCATGCTGGTCAGCAAGGTGGGAAGTAAGGGTGGATTTAAATCATGAGGCCAGGTTCTGGGGCCTTCTGGCAGTCCCTGATTTTATCATGGAAGATTTTGTAGGAAAGACAAGGAGACAGTAGAAGGAAAGATAATGCAGAGACAAAACTAGAGGCTAGCGGTACTAGCCTAGGCTCCCAGGGCAAAAGGAAACATATTGCTGCTCTAGACCTTGGCCATGGCACACAAAGAGCCTGGTGACCATGTCCATGACCCTAGTTCCCAGGAGACTACACTTTCTGCCATATGGAAACAAAAAGACACAAATCAAAAAGAGATAGCAAAGACACACCATTAAATATAAGCTATATCTTACATATAACTTACATATTCATATATATATATATATTCATTCATATAGTCATCTTGAACCAGGGGATAAAATGAAGGGTTAGATGAAGATTAATTCTTGTTATGTATCTTATCTCTTTGCCTTCTTCTACAAATAGAGATGGCTTAAGAATATTTTAAATACTAGCTGTTTTAAGAACTATCATGATACTAAAACTGGATTACAAAAAGAAAACTCAGCAGGAATTCATATTTCCTGAAAAAGCAGCAGAGACTCTGTCCAGCACCCATCTAGGACATGCTGCTCCCAAGTCTTGGGTTGTTAACCTACCAGGAACATCATCTTCTCGGATACAGAAAGAACTCGTGGAGCCATGGATGCTTGTGAAAGAGAGGTACGAGAGAGGTGGTCACGGAAGAGAGGAGCAGAAGGGCAAACCTGAATATGCCGATCCTGCCAATGACTCACAAGGCCACAGCAGCCATATGAACACATGGCAAGGCTTTCCAGAAAGGGCCAGAACCTCCAGGAGGGGAGAAGAGTGGATACGTCTGCAGGCGTGTGTGTCAGGTTATTGCACAACTTCAGGCGCCCAGTGGAACCTTTCCAACATCAATAGTCCCCGGGCCAGAAAACAAACCTGGCGTCACAGGGTCTGAGTGTGAAAAAAGGATGTTTGGGGTATAAAAGAAATTGAAATTGCCTTTTTTGCTTCTTCTGAGAGAAGACTGACAAGATGAGCTCTCATCCAGGCATATGCTACTCAGTCTGATTCAACCCTCCCCATGCATGTGGCTGATGGTCACCTGAACCTAGAATCTTTCATCAAAGGCTAATGAAACCTGGTCTTGTGTGTTTACTTCTAATGCTCCAGTCCTCACTAAAAGCCAATGGACCAGACACAAGTTCTCATCAAAGGAAGCCTCCCCTGTCATTAACTGACTGTGCTACATGTATGAAAATGGACTAGCATAATGCAGAAAGGCATTCCTCCAAAAAGAAGCTTTGCTCTGTTTTGTTTTAAAATCATTTATGGTAAACCAGAATTACATGTCTAAACTGAAGCCTCACAAATCCTGAAAGGCAATAACTTTGTTTTACTTATGAGGAAACCAAGACTCAGGGAAGCTTTTCTGAGGCAAGGAAAACCAATCTTGGAAACCAGGTCTACACGTCCGTCTGATTCCAAAGCCCATGCTTTGATCAGTATATAGTTTGTGTGTAAAAGTTTCCCCACCCCACTGCCTGAAAATCCAGACCTCATGTTTCTTCCCTGGCAACTGGTTGCAGAAGCATGCACCGGAACAGGATGGTAAAACTTGAGAATGGTCTGTGTGAGATGATGAAGAGTCTCGTGAGCGGGCCCAGCAGTCTCTGGGATGGTACAAGCTTACCTGGAATGTCACGAAGCATCTCAGGAGCCACAGCTCCTACTTCTGCTTGGTCTATGAAGGGGCCAAAAAACTCGAGTGAGATAACCCCATGCTCATACCTCCCATTCAAATGCCATATTCAATTATGTACACCAGGGGCCAGAAAACTTTCTTTGTGAAAGATCATAAAGTAAATGTCTTAAGTTTTGCAAGCCATGCAGGCTCTGTGACAACTATTCAAGCCTATTCTTGTGAGTGAAAATGACCATAAACAGCATCTGGTAAATGAGTGTGACTGTGTCCCAATAAAACTTTATTTGCAAAAACAGCCAGGTGGCCACTTATTATCCACTATATACTCTTGTGGATGCCATGTCTTTTATACCTGATTCCATCAATAAGATTGACAGATATCAGTCAGTACGGCCAGGTGATAATGACAGAGCATATTCTAGTCTGTTAAGCAATTACTAAAATAGCAAAGCGTAATAATTTGTTGATCTATTTCTTCTAAAGAACAGTTAACTCTCCTGCAATTACCCTCTCCTGTGTGCTAACCATATAGGATCAACAACTATGGAAAATAGAGGTGGCTGGGTCACTGCAACAAGAGGAAGATAATTGTCTAGAAACCATTTCTCAATGTGACCTCATGATCATACAACAGAAAACTACACCAACCAGTAGGGGTGTGGGAATCAGAACTTGACACCACCACTTTATTACGCTCAGAGAACACAGCTCAGAAAGACAAGTGTCACTGTCTAACCCCAGTAAGCACTGTCATTTGTTAAAGTGTGATGGCACACATCCGTAATCTTGGCGCTCAGCAAGTTGAGGCAGAAGGACTTTAAGTTCCAGGCTACCCCAGGCTATATATCAAGGGACTATATCAAAAGTCAAGAGCTGAAGATGTGGATCCGTGGCAGGGTGCCTGCATAGCAAGCACGAGGTCATAGCATGCATAGTACCATAAAACAAAACAAAAAAATCAGAGTGTTGCTACCAACAATGTCAAAATGCTAAATACATAAATATACCTACAATTCATCACTTAGCCAGGTATCGGTCAAGAACCACACAGACATTCACTTAGTGAACCTTTTGAGGGACAGACCATGATCCGATTCTACAGATAAGAACCAAGGCTCAGAGAGGGACTAGAGCCACTCACTGTGTGTTGGAGTCAGGCTATGAACCTGGGTTTTGCCAGTTCCAACACTTGTGCATTAACTGATGTACTACTGTGTCATACTCTTTTATGTTCTCTTTTATGTCGCCATCACCATCCCACACTTCCATCTCATATCAAATAGTAAGCCAGTCACCCAGAGAAATGCTGACCAGCCCAAGCCAAACAGAAGGCCAGCCACCGTGTTAGAATTCACCTCTGTCTCACTCCCTGAACTCCAGCCTCCACACTGCCACCTAGGACAGAGCTAGCATGCAAGTAAAATGGAGGAGCCAATAACAGCACACCCACTCACACAAAACTCTGCCTTCCCCATCCAAAGGTGGCAATCCTTTGTTCATAGTCCTTGGAGCAATAAGAGAAGGATATGGCTAAATTAAGCTTGGCCTACAACATAAATTATGCTAAGCGAAATTTCTCATAATGATGTCTTAAGTGAAAGAATGAGCTGCCCTCTCAGTAACACAGCTTGGGTTTATGACATTTTCTGCTGGTAAATATTTAGTCTCTACTGATAGCAGGTGAACTTGGTTGAGTGTGAGCTTTGTTGGTGGCAAATGCTTCAACGAAATCCTATGACTATGACCACTCTTCAGATTTCATCACCTTGCAACCAAAACCTGACCATTTCCGAGACTTTGGTACTGACCATTTCTGAGACTTCAAAAAAAACTAAACAGGAAGTACATGACAGTAAGCAGTTTTAAAATCCAAAAACGAAGGGACTAAGCCTGTTGAGTTTGAAACCCAACTTTTGTCTGCTTCTTTCAAATTCCCCTACATGGCATTCAAAAAGCCAATCCAAATATTAAAACATACTGACACATTTTGTCATCCAAACAAATCAACTACTCATAGAACTTGATCCTATCTATAATAAAAAAAAAAAACAGGAAGGGGCTAATTCCTCCGATCTCCTTATTTTATAACTGTGAAAAATGAAGATGATACAAAGTAAATGACTTGTGTAAAACTGGATAGAGTGGCACAAGCCCCGGAGGCTGGGGCAGAAAGATCACTAGTTTGAGACCAGCTTGGACTAAGTAATGAGACTCTGTCTCAGAAAAGGAATTGGGGAGAAAACAAAAGAGAAGAAAGAAGTGGAGGGATGGGGCAGGCAGTAGAAAGGGAAGGAAGGAAACAGAGAAAAGAAAAGAGACCCACATAATGAGTTGTCATACAACAACTATGGGACACCCAAGGAGAGAGGCTTGAATTCATATATAATTCAAGAAAGATTATTTACCTGAATTTCTTACATTGGTGTTATTCAATTTGGAATCTTTGATTACCAAGTGCTTAATCCATAATGTAGGAGCTGTGATTTCTAGAAAAAAAAAAGAGAGAGAGATAATGTGTGCATACGTGGGCAAAGAGAAGTTATGACATGACGTGTAACCCAAATTTGTAATAAGCTTTTTTACACGCTGAGGCATTAAAGATTCAGCTATCTCCCTCTTGGCATACCGACCCCATCCCAGTGCCAACACACTCCCTCTTCCTTGTGACGGAAGTGCTTCTTCCCCACCGGCTTTTAAGAGACAACCAGGGCATCCTGTGCTGGGACCCAGCATGGTCAGAATCCAGAGGCACCAAGCCACTCCATCAAGGAATAAAAATATTATCCCAGGAGGTGAGGAACACGAGCCAAGCCAAGTCCCTCTCAGCTGCTTCCCTGGGAGAAGATTTAAAGGGGATAAATCAACAAACGAATGCCAAACACACCGCAGAGACCATTTTAGAGGAAACAGCTGAGCCACGGCAGATGCAGCCTGCCGAGCGTCTGCTCCATGTGGGGAAGAAAGAGGTGAGTCTAATGCGTGCACAGGCCCTTCTCACAGTCAAGTCAAGCGGAACACATGCCGAGCACCTTCATCGAGAGCACCCCGGGGTGCGGCACAATCTCAGCACCAAGGTCGCCAAGCAGACTGAGGGTGTGGAAATCCTGTGGAGTCGCCTTGACCAGACCTTGCAGCAACCAGATCCTCAATGACAGCACTGGTATGGTCTCCCCAGATGACATCATCGCTGCCTTCTACCTACACCCCAAGGACCCACACTTTCCAATGACAAAGGAGGATGTTTGTGGGCCATAGAGACTTCTGAATTCTGTTGTTGTTTTTGTTGCTGCTGCTGCTGCTGCTGCTGCTGCTGCTGCTGCTGCTGCTGTTTCAAGGATTTCTCTGGGTAGCCTTGGCTGTCCTGGACTCGCTTTGTAGACCAGGCTGGGCTCAAACTCACAGAGATCTGCCTGCCTCTGCCTCCCTGAGTACTGGGATCACAGGCGTGCACAATCAAGCCTGGCTTGAGACTTGAATTCTTACCTCGCCTTTCAGTGCTCACTGAGCTGTGCCTGTACTAGAAGCATTCCCAGCCACAGTGCCATGCCATGACTTTAATCTCTCTGTCCCGCTGTCTCGTGATACAGACACACTCAGCCGAGCACCGTTAAAATGTTGCTACATGTTGTATGCTGAAAGCCAAACTTCATTGTCAAGCTTTCTGGAAACAATCTACCAAACATCCTGTTCCGATTCACGGGGATCTGGAGCACTCGGTAAAGTCCCCACAGAACAGAGTACCTCCGCCTTGAGCAGAGGCCAGGCTTCTGTACCCCCAGATTCTCCAAATCACCTCCCTTTCCTCCAGCGACTCCAGGCCTTTATTTAGTCACCATTTACTATTTCCCTTGACCTAGAATGTTTCTCCTGAATGTCCTCACTTAACTCTCCCAAATCCCTATTCCCTAACCCAGCCAGCCTCACTTGCCAATCTCTTGCTCCTACTTCCCCAAGGGTAACACATACCCACCACCGTTCCCTCCCTGCTCCTGGCCAGTCCTCGCTATCTGGAGTACCCTGAGTCCTTCCTTCTGCTCACAAGCTCCAGCTCAAGTCCCGTGTCTTCACAATGCTCCTCGGAACCATGCCAACTCTTTCTTCCATAAATGTCTATCACGGTGAAAACCAGGACCGCAGGACTTATTCCATGAAGCTCTCGCTAGTGGTTGCAGTGGGAGCAAAGGCTGACATTCACATACCTCCTTCTCATCCCCAGTGACCCCACACCATCTAGGCACAGAGTGGGCGGGTGCTGAGTCACATGCTGAAGTGACTCCCCAGTCTGACTGCCTTTCCCACCATGACTCCCTGGTCTTGGCAGCTTGAAGGGTCTGTCTAAACCATGTTTTTGTTGGACATCGGGCTACAGGCAGGAAGCCTGAGAAGGACAGAGGACCCTTCCAGAAGTAGAGTCTGTACCAGTTCCTTGGAGGTTTCACATTTTTTTTAGGTTAGGACAACCCAGCTTGCACTGGGGAATTTTGAAATTAAGAAAGAAAAAAATAATAATAGTGGAACTTAAACAAACATGTAAAGCTAATGTCTTGCCCGCCCGATTCTGAAATTAAAAAAGGAAAAAATAATAATGAAACTTAAAACATGTAAAGCTATTATCTTGCCCGATTCTGAGCATTAGTGGAAAGAATAAGAGTAGTAAAATATGGCAGCTTACCATCTCCGTCAAACACAGGCTGGGTCTCCATCGTGGGCGTGGGCTTAGAGCCATCATCTGAGTTGAGGGTTAAAAAAAAACGAAAGGAGACTACCATTATTGAGGTAAATACTATCTACTCTCAGAACTGTTGAATGGTTGGGGTTTGTTCAAGGGCAAAGGAAAAGGAAAAGCAAGAAGGGAGAGAAGGAGAAGGGAGGCAGAGCCAGAGAGAGACAACAATAGAGCAAACCCAGGTGTGTGTTCACCCCAGGGACCCATAAGGAGCTGGATCTCATGAGGTCACTATCTTATAAATCTGGGGATGCTGTGGGACCCTCCCAGCCCATCCCTACCCACAGCAGAGTAGGGTGGGAAGCTTCTCCCTGAGCAGCCCTGAGCTTTGTCAAGGCAGGCTGGGTAAACACTGGCAGCCGTGTGGCATGAAAGCCTGGTTTCCACCACCATTCCCATCCTCCATCAGTTTAGAACTTTTCTCAATGGCCCTGGTTAAAAAGCTTAGATCAGGGTGCCACTCCCATCCAGACTCGCAGCTGTCTCTTCGTCCTTGCCTTAAGTAGAGAGGATGGAAAGCGCTGCTCTCTCTAGCACAGTGGAGAAAAAGCATCTCTGTGAACATTTACACTGTGAAACAGTACACGCTGAGATCCAGCAGCAGGTTGATGAACACAGTGGGAAACTGCTGAGATCACCCAGGCCTCGCTTTGACAGTTCTATCACAGCTGACGGGAGCAGGGTGCCCCAAGGAGCAAAGTCCCGGTGCTTATCACTCAGTACCCTTGGCAGCTCTTTGTGCAGAGCAAGAACCTCCATGTGTCTGGAGTTTGTACAGAGTTTGTTTATTTACCTGCCACGATTCTGCTTTTGTCAAGGCTCAGAACCCTCAGCTTAGAGAAGTGTTTTGCCACCATTTCACTATTGCCCACTTAAGGAGTATTTTTATACCTTTTTCTCCAATCACTGCCTAAGAAAATTTTAGTAGATAGACAATAGTAAACATTCCTGTACTGTGTACACCCATTTGAGAGAGAAAGAATGTTTTTTCTCAATCCCCAAGAAACTACTTTAACCCCCCTGAGTAAAAGAGAAGGAAGTTATCTTTGTACATCTTGAGAATAGTTTAGAGATTCTTCTTTGTTTCCACCCTTAGTGGAAGGAGAGAGGTTAAGAACTATTGTTTCAACTGGTTTGATGATTACACCATTGCTCTCCTCCCAAGACCCCCCAGAGATCATTAGGAATGGAACACTATATTTCCTGGGCATTAACTATTTATAGAGAAGCCTGACTCTCAGATAATCTGTGAGACACCAATCAGACCACCAATGGTGTCAGGTCCCCACCATCTGGGGCTCTGGTTGGTACCTTCACCAATTTCCCTGAAATCTTATCAGATCTCTTGCTGGAGTCAACCCTCATACACCCACACCCTCCCTAGAGACCGAGGCCAGCAATATAACAGTGTTGTGACACCTGTCTTGTGCTGAGATGAAGACCCAGAGCAATCTCCCTAGGGCCAGAGCAATCCCAGACTATCTGACAATCATTCCAAGAAATGAGGCAGAGCAGAAAGAGAGCTTCAAATACAGTGTGCTGAGTATCTTTATTTTGCCTCAAACTAGATCCCCTAATGGGCATCTTTGATGTCAAACTGTGTGAGCTTGATCTGGAAGTCACTGAGGGAGAATAAATACCAAACAGAGCCACACAATGTCATTTTTAAATATATATATAACACCACTTCCCCAACTCTATTAACACCTCTTTCCATTGAGTTCACCAAGCCCCTGAATGGAGTCTCCTGGCAGCTGCAGTGCGCATTTGGTCTGGTCACTATTGCCAGACACAGAGTTCAGTGTGAATAGTTCAGCGCAGTGTACCCAGCCCCCTCTGCTCACAGGGTGACTTCACTTTGGGAGCCTTGAGCCTTGGGAGCTAACAAAGAAGCAAGAGGTCAACAGTGCAAGTCCAAATATGACAGCTTATGTAATACTTCATCCTTGATGTAGACATTAAAATGTCTATACAAGAGCCACCCCTCTCTCTCTGGAGCAAGATAACCAAAAACAGCCTGCCTCTTTTTCCTGACATCCAGATGAAAGCCTGGGTCTGGCCATCTGGTCTACCCAAGAAAGTCTGTGGAGCGCAAGGAGGGCTTCTGGGGGCAGATCTGTACTTGTGTTGGTAGGGGAGCTCCATAGATGGCTCAGACATTCATATGGAAGCCCACAGAGCATGAAGCTGAGGCAGAGGGTTGAGTCTTCCTGCTGAGTAGGGTCACTGAGGGTGAAGAGATACAGCTGCTCTGTACAGGGAGGCCCTAGATGGAAAGCTTTATGAAGTGAGAAACGCTGAGGTGCCCTCCTGCCAGCAGCCACCTGTGAAACCCAGCACATCCCTAAGCCAGGAAACCACTCCAAGTCCAATGAGCCCTCTAACCATCATCTCCGGGCACCTGGGCACCTGGCTCCTGACCCACCAAACAATTTTTTTAATAAACATAGATCCAAGGCTTGGGTCCAAGGTCCACAGAAGTTCTGCTTCCTGGCAAGCCTTGGAGAAGCACCAGGCCACACACTGGGCCCTGGTTTTCTACATGTACCGTTGGCTTCCTAATTCCTAGTGGGACCTCACACTGGTCCTTGTGTATATGCACGTACTGCCTAACCTAAACTCCTCACTTTATTTCTCTGAGTAGCAGTATCTTCTGCTAAACATGCCTCAGGAAGCTGGCACTCTGTGGGTATAGACAACTCTAACACACTGCTAAAGGAGCTGTTTTCTCCGTGAGTACTAATCATCTTATTTGAATTATTTACTTTTAAGACTGGACTTAGGAAATTAAGAGAGTATCAAAGTTTCAGATAAACTTTACAATTCAGTAAGATGACAACCTTATTTTAAAGCTAAGCAAAACATTAATAAGCATTTCACACACACACACACCAAAAGACGTACAGATGAGTAATAAACACACTAATAATATTAAATGTCATTCATCATTAGGAAGGACAAATTTACACAATGAAGGATGAACGTGGTGGTACCTGCCTGTAATTCCAGTATTTGTAAGGCAGAAGCAGGAGGAGTTCCACAAGTTCAAGGCCAGTCTGTACTACTTAGTGAGTTTTAGACCAGTCAGGGCTACACAAAAAGTTTTTGCCTCAAACAAACAAATAAACAAAAATTCACAAGGTACCACTAAGCACCCATAAGAATAGCTAAAATAGAAGACAGATAATACCAAGTGTTGGCAGGAATGTGGAGAAAATGGAACCCTTTGTTCACTGTTAGTGAAAATATACAACTGGCAGCCACTTTGAAGAATAATTTGGCAATTTCTTTTTAAACACACACAACTTCTAAATTCTGCTCCTAGGAATTTATGAAAGAGAAATAAAAACATGGTCTCAGAAAGACATGTGTACAAATGTAACAGTATTACTCAAATATAGCAGCTTCTAATTTGAATGTTTGTTTGTTTATTAGACTCAGAAGGCACACGTATGCTGTGATGCCTGAGTAGAAGTCACAGGACACATACAGGAGTCTTTTCTCTCCTCTATCCTGTGAAGTCTAGGGACTGAACTTCGGTTGTAGATTTAGTGGCAAGCCCCTTTACTCACTGACCCATCTCACCCACCGTCCCAAAAAGCCTCAAAGTTTTAAGCAATCCAAATGTCTATCAGCTGGTAAGGGGTAAATTCTATGTCCATATAAAGGAATACAATGCAGCAATAGAAAGGAATAATACCTTAAATACAAAAATATATAGCTGACACTCTTCAAAAACATCATAAAAATGCAAGGCAGTTGTTAACTATTGTCTGTGATATGATCACATTTACACAACGCAGATTTACAAAAGTAAATGCATCAAGACGACAAAGCTGCTCTATAGATGCTGAAGTGGAGGTTGAGAGAGGGTAAAACTTTAGACAGCCTAAAAGTACTATGGGGCGGTGATGGAATTTGTCTCTGGTAATGGTTGTGTGACTCTAAAAATTTGCTAAATTCATTGGATCTTACATTTACAATGAGTAAGATTGTTTTTCTGGTGTAGAAGTTACATTTCAATAAAGGCTTTTTGAACCAAGATGAGGGTGTACCAGAATCACTAACAGAAAATCACCCAGTGGCAGCAGTTAGGTTGTTGGGCAGTGGCTACTTTGGAGAGAGAGAAAGAATTTCCCCATTTATTTTTAATATATATATATATATATATATATATATATATATATATATATATATA